TAGCCCTAGACTACTTCATGGAGTGCAAGAATCATGGTCAGGGGTCCCTTGTGTCAAGAACAAGACCTGGCACAGAGCAAATCCATTGCTGAACAAATTATGATTCCTTGTGACCCAACAGAGCCAAGATCTTTACAGAAACTTTGCCACATCTTTCTCCTATGGAGCAGTTGTACTTACGTACTGCTGAGTTGGAAATGACCCATGGCTGACCCTCCTGTGGGTTTTCAGAGGCAGTAAATAGCACAGGAAGAGACTGTCCATCTTTGTCCCACAGGGCTGCTGGTAAATTCGAACTGCATGTCTCTGGGTTGGCAGCACAATGCCTTATCCACTAGGCCACCAGCGCTCCCCTTGTGGAGCATTTGGTGGGACTGGACTGCTGCTCTTTGGATAGCAATCGTGCCCTTTAACCAGCGTGTCATCAAGACTCTTCAACATATGGCAATGCTCAGTGAGTAAAATGAACAAATAAATCTTAGAGACAAGGAGCAGACAGTCTAAAGTACAAGCTTTATCCCATCAAGTTTCTTTCAATAGAGAATGTTTGGGCAGATGAAAGACCAAGTTAAGCATTCAGCAGAGGCCCAGCTCCCTGGTGGGAGGAAGGAAATGTACAGGGGTGTTGTTTTACATCCAAGTTTGTTCTGAAGGAAACATGATCTCTAATGGGAGAAGAGGAGGTCTCACTTCTCTCAGCCCTGACTGCTCCTCTCAGGGCTCAGTTGAACCTGGACAGATGTGTTTTTAGTCTGCCCTGTGCCCTGGGTTTCGGATGAATGGCTCCCAAGTTAAGAAGCCAGGCTTAGGTTTGGGCTGTGCCCAGGAGCAGGGGCCACCTGCTCCCACTAGACAAGGTGGGAAGAAGCTCCAGAACCTAAGAGCCAGAGCTGAATATGCTTATAAGAGTTAAGTGCTTTGGGGTAGGGGTGTGGGAATGGGAAAACCTATTAACACAGGGAGTGAAAGGAGGAGGGGAGGAAAGGAAAAGGTGGGTCCCTTCCTCTGCTAATAGCTAATGAGAATACAGAACAAGACTCGGGAATGCTGGGCTCAGGTTTGCAAAAAAGTCAGCAATATACAAACTTTCCAAGAACCCTGCATTGGGGAGGCCAGGGTAAGAGACAGTGGGAGCCAATCCTATTCCCACCCATAGGAAGGCCCACAACACAGTGGTTTAAGGTAAAGGAAACTGCAGATAATTCTGAACTCAAAGAGCAATGAGTAGTGAGTGGTAGCAGATCTTGTCCTATACCTTTAGTCTGACAGATTTGCTCTGCTGGTCTAATACTGAAGGCAAGTAGTTTGAGGCCACCAGCTGCTCTGCCGGAGAAAGATGAGCAAGCTCAAGTCCTGTGTGATTATCTGAAAACCTGCTAGAGGGTCAACTATGGGTCAGTTCTGAGTCTAGGGTACACAATAACAACCTCACTGTTAGCCACATGAAGCAGGTTAACAATGATCATACATCACAGCCCCTGCCCAGACCTACTGTTCGATCATCTGATACTCTATGAGGATTCCTGATCTGCGTCTAAACCTGGCTGGACTCCCAGATTGTGGAATGACTGTCTTCTCAATTCTGACACTTAGCCATTTCTAATCTGACCTCTAACTTCTCTTTCAGAAGAGTATTTATTACAACTGCCATTGGCTCTGAGATGATCCTCATACCCACCTACACCAGATAGACACTGTTGTTATGTGCCATTGAGTCAAGTATGGCTCTTACTGACCCTATGAAGAGATCTGAACCCTGTCCTATCCTGTACCATCCTCATCATCTCTGACATACTTAACCCCATTGCTGCAGTCACTGTGTCAATCTATCTCATGGAAGATTAGCTTCTCTTACCGACCTTTCACTTTTCCAAAGAATACTTTTTTCTAGCAACATGCCCACAGTATGTGAGACGAAGCTTTACCATCCTTTGCCTCTAAGAAGCACTCTGGCTGCATCTTCTCCAAGACATATCTTTTTGTTATTTTGGTAGTTCATGGGATATTCCGTTCTGTTCTCCCAACAACACAACTTGAAGGCATCAATCTTCCTTCTGCCATTTTAATTTACTGTCTAGCTCTGAGACACATAGCAAGTGATTAAAAAGATCACGGCTTGAGTCAGGTGCACCTTAGTTTTCAAATGGGCATCATTGCTCCTCAGCAATTTGCAGAGGTCCCTGACAACATAATTTCCCAGTGCAATATATCTTTTGTTTCTTGACTGCTGGTGCCAAGGGTGTTGACTGTGGATCTAAGTTAAATGAAATCATTGTCAATTTCAATTCTTTTTCCCTCAATTATGATGTTGCTTATTGGTTCAGTGGTAAGGATTTTTATTTTCTTCATGTTGAGATGACTGCATCCAATTTGGAAGAATTAGTAAGCTTCAAAATAGAGGCAGTATGTGAGCTGAAGGCTGGTAGCATGTAAACAGAAGGTGAGGAACATCCAGTAGCATGCAATCTGTATGGAGCGCCCATGTGTAGTGCCCAGGGACCACAGATTCCAAGGTGTCCTAAAAGAGGACGAAATACTTACTACCTGAGCAGAAGGACTTTAGGATGCTGCCCTTCAAGAGGTCTCCCAAAGCTCTGAGACTAGGGGTGTCAAAGCAGAGATTCGTAAAACACAGGACCCCAGAGAGAGCAAGGGAGAAAGAAAAGGACAGCACTGTATTATTTACTAAACTTCAATTGTTCTTCCAAATACTGAAATCACTTATCAGTATTTGGTGACCATGTGCAAAAAAATAAAAATCACAGAGAATTGGGTTCCACCCTGCTACAGGCAAGTCTGATGGAAAAAATGAGGAGTAGCACAAAGCACCTGTGCAGAGGTCTAGAGAACAGAAAGGCTGAGTAAGGACCGGCTATAAAACTTCAGGTACATCCTTTCTAGCAAGGATTCTCAAGCTCTCCCCACACCCAGGCCTAGCTCTGTTTCTTTGAAACCACAGCCTAGGTTAGTTCTCTTTCCAGCAGAGGCTCATTCATTCACTGAGCGGGGCATGTTTTTGGGGTGGCTAATTAATGAGATGGAGGGAAAGATGTCCTAATGTAGATCCTTCTTTACTTTGACTGTCTTACTGAAATAATCTCAACAGTTCAGCCTTCTGCCCATCCCTAATTCAGTTCATCCATCATTCTTCTAAAACACAGCTCATTCACCCATCCCAAATCCACTATGTCCCCACTGCTTATAGGATAGGAATTCAGACACTCTTATCTTGGGTACCTCAGGCCTTACACAGTCCAGCCTCTCCCACATCACCTTTCCTCTCTCCCTATGCCCTCGCACTGGCTCTACTACTACCACAGTCACCAGGCTCAATAGCTAGCCAGCACAAAGTCCTTGCTTTACTCAGCTTATTCTCATTCTGTTCTTTGTTTCTGTATGAGGTGGTGGTAGAAAGGGGCTGCTGTGCTGAAGGGCAGGATCTGTGCCTTACTCATCTGAGGGAGTTAGATAAGGGGTGAAGGGAGATTTTGAGTCACTCTAACCAAGAGAGATGGGACAAGAGAAGATACAGGAGAAAAACAGATCAGAGACCAGCGGACACTCATTCAAAAGGTCCCTACAGACACTATCCACATGAGCAAAAGCAGTATTCATAACAATTCCCTGAGTCATACCTACAAAGTTAAATCATTAACTGCGGTTTGGGGCAAGTATTTCTAGTAGAAAAACACATATTTCAGAGACCTAAAATGTCAGTTGGAGTCGACCTAACAACAAAATAACAGTGCTTGGTTGCTTAACGGAATAGGGCAGACTCAGCCTCCCCTGAGTGACACATACATTCATAGTGTTTTGATCTGCAAATCCCATCTACACAGGTCAGCTAAGGAAAGCAGCACTCAGGCACCTCCAGCAGTTACCAATTAAGTCTAGCAAGGACTTAGGTGGATGGGCACAGTCCCTTCTGCTAAACTGCAGCAGAGTGAAGCAAAGCTCATTTGTTTCTAGGGGAGTGAAGATGCCATGCACAGCTTACAGTTATGAATGGCTCTTATAACAAGAAGCTGACATCTGTGCTTGGTTTCTAAGATGCATCATCGCATGTTTATTAAACTATTGCTCCATCATATTTATTTGGCTACCTCCCAGCCCATACTTTCAAAAGTGGTTTATTAAAAACTAAGCCTTGAACATTAATACTCAAAAGCACCCTTGAGAATCAATAATAATGCTGCAGATAAAATGAAAGGGAATCAAAGCAGTAAGTCTTGATGGGGGCTGTGGCTGCCTTTCAGTACTTTCTTACGTGTTTAGGCAGCTGCTGGGGAAGAATACCAATGGTCCATGGCAGAGTCAGCCACCCCAAACACCCCATTTCCTGCCTAAAACATGGACAAGGTGGCAGGGAAAGGGAGAGGGCTCTTAGGGCCACACAGCTTCAAAGGATCAACAAAGCCAAACTTAGCTGCACTAGTTTCAACCAGAATAAAATCTCTGCCCCTAACTGCCACCAATCTAGCCTATCAGAAGTCTTATAAGGGAATGACTAGCTCAGCCAGGAAGGCTGGAGAAATACAATCTGTCCCTAGGTAGGGCTCCAGCATGTGTACATCAAATCTGCAGACAGGATTTTTCAGTCCCTGAAGATTTTTCTGGCCTCTTCCACCTCCTTTCTAAACCTCAAGTTCCTTTATAAGAACATCTTCATTTCAATCCTGGACAATTAACAAATGGCCAATTCCAAAGAAAGAAGAGCCACTCTGAAAGATCCAGAGATGACTATATGGAAGGGGCTCTAAATTATGTCCTGTGAAGAACAAAACAGCTGGAGGACCAAAGGATGTTTAGGATTAAGAGATATAAGGACCAAATGCCCATTTTAAAAGGGTTTACTTGGACCAAGGAAGCCAACGTGCTTGATGACGACAGAGAAGTTACAGGTTTTCAGCTTAGTCTGGAAGGATTTCAGCCAAGGCAAAGTCATCACATACCCTTACCCCTCACAGGAGACAGAGCAAGGCCTGACTTTTAACACTCACCTGCTGACTTCCTGGACATTGTTGGACCGAGCAGCTTCCATGAGGGCTGCATCTGAAGAGAGAGGGGCACCAGTCAGATCCCTGGCCAGAACCTAACCACCCATGGCCGCTTGATGAGACAACAGAAGCAGCATTTCACAAATCAGCAAATAAAACAATACCAAAATAAATGCACAGAAAAAGCTAATCACTCCCTCCTCAAATGGTAACCACTGCTAACCATGTATCCATTCACACCTATTTACAGAACCCAAACTTCCAGCAACCCCTCATCACATAAAATAGTGAAATACTAACACCACATCTTGTCTGTTAAGTATCCAATGTGTGAATTATACTCTTCAGTTATACAGCTCTGAAGAAATAACTTTTGTTACCGTCAGCATCAATAACTATTTTTCTATATTGTCCCACTTTCCTCCTCTAACTCTAGTTGCTCAGCACAAATTTCTGTGCCATTATCATAGGTCATAAACCCAGTGGAAAGGACAGGGTTGGGAGTCTGTAGGGGTGTGAGCACCACCTTGCCACCTTGTAGAATGGAGAGCACTTTAACCAAGAATCAAGATACCTAGTGCCAACCCATCTATCACCGACATGTGTGATGATGGTAATATCTTTCCCCGCTCAACCTCAATTTCCCTGCCTACTGGCCTCACAAGGCTGTGTGGATAGATGGCTGAAAAAAAAACCCAAAATGTGCAAACTTTCTGGTACCAAGCCCTTCTGTAAGGGCGACTCAGAGCAGAGCGTTCAGATCCCTTAAGAATCACTAGGCCGGGGAGCTCTGGTGGCCTAGTGGCAAGACGCTGCACTGCAATCCCAGAGGTACACGGTTCAAATCCACCAGATGCTGTGCTGGAGAAGGAGGGGGCAATCTCCTCCTGTACCAGTCAGATCTGATTTGACGGTACACGTAAAAATAATACAAGAAAAATTAAAAAACAAAATCAATAGGCCAAGAAGAAAGCAATAAAGACTACTAGCCCAGGCCTAAGGGAGTTCTGGGAGCCTAGCCTGTAAAGGTGTGCTGTGCCGACCTACAAATCACACCTCTCTGTAGGTTCAAATCCACTCGTGGCTCTTCGGGAGAAAAATGGGCTCTCTCCTCCCATGGTACTTACAGCCTCTGAAAACCTGCTGGAAGGTCAGCTGTAAATAAGTTGGTTTCAACTTGAGGGCAATGACAGAGACAAGGGACAGCCAGCCAGCATACATCTTCAGACCTGGGATGCCAGTGGGCTGTTGGAACCACCTTGTGGCAATAGAGAAAACTGCCTTGACTTGAGAATGCTGAATTCTTTGGAAAATAATTTTCCAATTCAACACGCCAAAGCCCTCTGTACCAAGCTTGAGTTTGAGGGACATTGTTGAGCACTGAACAGATTCATAGCCCGTTCTGTCTGAGGGTGTCTCCAGGTCCAATCAAGAACTTCAGCAAATACAAAAGGAGGCAGTGGAACAAAGTGGAAGTAGGATCTGGAGGCAGATAAACCTGGTCTCCAGCTTTGTCTCTTACCTGTATGACCTGGCCAACTCATGTGCTTTCTGAACCTGTTTTCTGATCTGTACAAGGGGATAAGAAATTCAGTTCCCTTTCTGCATGTGAGTCAGTTTTGTGGCTCAAATATTAGAGCTCCATCTCATGTCCTGGCATAGGTTTTAGCACCAGGCTTTTCTTGCTTACCTTTTCAGATTATTCTCCAAGTATATACTAAGTATGCTTGGGGAGCCCCCAGCTAGAAGGCAACACATTTTTACCAGAGATCATTGTATCTATTTCTCCCTCAATCTGTAGAAAGCAACAGTCTGTAAAGCCAGACTGAGTGGGGAATAAGTGAAAATGAAAACCAGGACTCCCTAAAAACAGTTTTTACTACACTGGACTGAGAGTCTCAGCTCCTAACTCCAAGTCAGGAGATATGGGAGCTGGTAAATCTGAGGGGCAATTACCTCAGAATAGGGCAGAACTAGCTATGGTTATTATTTGGGTAACTAGATCCTGGTCTCTTTGCAGTTCACTTGACACTACCTCAATAACTTGGAGCTGCCAGAAACCTCCAGGGTAAGATTTTCAAACTCAGGTTCTATAAAAATTATGCCCCAACCTCTATCTAGTACAGTGGTTCTCAATGCTTCTAACTGCACCTTAGTCACCTATGATGTTTTGACAACATGCTGATGCTAAGGTCCTACATGTTGTTATGTGCCATCAAGTATGAATCATAAAGACCCTATGAACAACACATATAAATCTGTCCTATCCTGCACCATCTTCATCTCTGATACACTCAAGCCAATTGCTGCAGCCCATTGCTGGTTGAGGGTCTTCTTCTCCTTTGCTGACCCACCACCTTTCCAAGCATGACGTCTCACTGCAAGGAACAGTCCCTCTGAACAACATGCTCAATATGTGAGATGAAGCTTCACCATCCTTGCCTTTAAGGAGCATTATGATTGCACCTTTTCCAAGATATACATGTTTGGTTTTTTGCAGTCCATGGGATATTCAGTACTCTCCTTCAGCATAACTCAAAGGTATTGATTCTTTTCCTGTCATCCTTATTCACTGTCCAGCTCTCAGATGCATAGGAAGTGACTGGAGACTGTGGTTCTAATCAGACACACTTTAGTCTTTAAACTGACATTGCTCTTCAGGACTTTGGAGAGGTCCCTGATACCAAGAGGTCCCTGGTACCAAGAGTGTTAATTGTGGATCCAAGTTAGAAGAAATCATTGACAATTTAAATCTTTTCTCCATCTATCATGATTTTGCCTAATGTCCCAATAGTGAAGATTTTTGTTTTCTTGATATTGATATGTAATCCATATTGAAGGCTGTAGTTCTTAGTCTGCAGCAAGTACCTCAAATCCTCCTCCCTTTCTGCAAGTAAGGTTGTGTCATTTGTATAATGCAGGGTGTTGATGACACAGATCAATCAAATTAGAAACTTTAGGTTCTTAAACTTCTAGGGTTAAGACTCAAGAAGCTGGTATTGTTTTAAAAGCTAGCCAAGTGGTTTCAAATATTTAAAACCACCAGTTTGACCCAAGCCAAATTAAAGAGGACTTTCTTCTCTTACAAAGTGAAGCCTATCAAGACTATACCCCAATGTCAATTTCTCTCTTAACACTGTCACAGTCCTTTAACTTGCCCTCACTCCATTCAAACATACTAGCCTCAGGACACTGTTTACTCATGAACCTTCCATGGGTTTACACTGCCTACAGGAGAAATTTCAACTCTTTTTTCTAGTATCCAGACCCCACCCCATTCCATGGCAAGTCTTTTCCAAAGACTTTCTGTCCTCCAACTAGGCTGGCCATTCTGCTAGCCCCTGCACACAGTGCTGACCTGTCAATTTTTTTATCTTCATTCGTCAAGTGTTTGCATGGAATACAATCCGACTCAAGGCACACTGAACACCAACTTCCTGATAAAATATTGGAACAATGTGCTGGTAAGAGAAAGGGGGTTGGAACCAACCTGGAAAAAAAAAGATGCCTTCCCATCTCTTATTGAGGCACACAACATCCCTCTTTACTCCTCTCCTGTTACCCTCTTGTTTTACCCTTCAAGACTCACGTTAAAATTCCCCATTCCAATTGTGCCAGTGTCCTGATTCCCCAATAAAACTAACACCACTCACCACAAGCTTAACTGCTCTGCATTTGTTAAATGTGAAGTTTCTATGATACCTAGCTTCAAACTAAGTACAAAGAAAATATTCAGAAAAATGGTGAGTTCAGAAATATAGTATGCCTAAGCTAGAAGAATCCTGACTCTTTAGATCGACATCCTTATCTTGTAGATGAGGAAACAGAGCAAAAAATCCAGTCACAGTGGGAATTACTGCAGAAGCAAAGCATGATCCCAAGTGTCCTTTTCTTTACAGCTTGCCACATTGTGCTGAATAAAGTTTAGTTCCCACTACAAGGAGCTTAAGTGTTGATTTCATACAGTTTAGAAGTCTAGCTCTCAAGAAGCTGCATTGCAGTCCCAGAAGTACATGGTTCGAATCCAGCAGATGCTCTCCTGGAGAAGGAGGGGCAGTCTCCTCCAGTACCAGTCAGATCCGATTTGATGGTACAAATTTTAAAATAAAATTTAAAAAAAAAAAAAAAGTCTAGCTCTCTGCCCATTCTCCTTCAAACACATTTACCCAGTTAAGACTTCAGTCTGGCTCAGCCAGCCCCCATGTTTTTCTTAGGTCTCTACAGATTTTCTTGCCAATTGCCCAACATGGCAAGATCCTGAGCCTTGGTACAGCAAAACTATGGTAGATAATAAACTGTAAGAATACTGTAAAGAGAAAGAAAAATGATCCTTACTGTACAAGTAGGGAAACTAAGGTTACAGAAGATCAAGTGTCCCCTATGTGCGGTGGCAAAGTTGCCACTGAAACCTACTTCCTTTCTTGAGCTACATTTGGCAACTATTTGGTCGCCCTTAAAATCCTGCAGTTTCCTGGACACGTTATCAAAGAGGAATTGCATCAAGCAGCATAAAAGCTAAGTTCTAATATTGTTGTGTACCTTCGACGCAACTGACGCATAGTGGGTTTTGAGAGGCAGTATATCGCATGGGAGAAGACTGCCCAGCTTTTTCCCGGTGAGCATCCGGTGGATTCGAACTGCTAACTTAGAGTTGGCAGTCCAACTCCTTACCACTAAGCCACAGAGCTCCCCTATCTTAATATTAGATATTTTATTTTATTTAATCCAATGCCCACATTATATAGGTAGATAAAATTATGGCCGGACAGGAGGAGCACATCTACGGGAGATGATGCAACTCAAGAGCAATGCTCTACCCTGTGATTAGACGTCTGGGTCGCTCCAGGTCTGAGATTCTGGTTTCTAAGACTCTAAGCATCTTCCATACTCTCAAGATGCAGAGCCAGGACACTCCTCCCGCCTCTACCTTCTTCAAACCCTCATGGTCTCAATAATCACCCTTGTTGGACGGGTTCCTGCTGTAGCAATGAACCACCAGCGCCGTGGCCAGGGCCCACATGCCCAGTCCCGCTCGGTTTGGGACCCCGCTCCAGCCGTCTTGTGCAGGGAGTGTTTCTTCGGGACTGGGAAGGCGTCTCCACATGGTGGCTGCAAAGCACTGGGTATCCGCAAGTCCTCCCCGGCTCCCCCCGGCTGACCCTCGTCCCGCGAGCAAAGCCGGCGCTGTCTCAGGGCGCCCCCCGGCGGCTGCTCTCAGCCATTGAGGTTGGCCACAGCTCCCTGTGGTTAAGCTTCGTCTGGAGGCACCTCCATGGCTCTGGAGTGATGTAGACTGAAGTAGTCGGATGAGGAGCCGCGGCGCCAGCGCTGTTCTCTTCAACGCCAGGGAACCCAGCATGGTGACAGCAGCCGCTTCTACAATCCCCTGATGCCGGCCCCTGTGCTGGCCACGTCCAACATGGCGGCCGCGGCGCGTTCGAAGACGCCGCGGATGGAGTGAATTGTGCACTACCTCACGGGAGTGGTAGTCCACGTGTCTAGAACGTAGCGCGGCTGAGAAACAAAGAAACGACATTTCCCAGAATGCTGTGAAACGAATATCACAGTTACGGCCGACTCAGAAGCCCGAGGCATTTTGGGAAATGTAGTTCAAACTGGAGTGTATGGGCGGGGCAGTAAGAGGACTACTGAGGAGGGGCGTGGCTCTTTCTCACATTTGAAGGTTAGCATCATCCCCAGAGCCTATTTACCTCTTTCGTTATACACCCGTCATTGTGCTGGAGAAAAAGAAGTCTCTTCCTTCAACTTGCAGCCTCTGAAAATCCGCTGCAGAGTCAATTCTGACTCATTGGCAATTAGTTTGAATTTTCTTTACCTTTTTCATTAAAACGTTGGTGACAGTTTGTGGTCAAGGTACCACAGTTATCAACAACATATTATCAAGTTTAAGCTCTCGTGGTCTAGTGGTAAATAGCTGCGCCGTCAACTCCAAGGCTCTCATTTAAAATCTGCCGGCGGCTCTGTGGCAGAAAAAAGGCCAAGCAACTTCTGTGTGATTTGCTGTTTGTGAAAACCCACTGGAGGGTCTGACTCCACAGTACACAACAACAACATTGTAATGTTCAGACTACTTCTTTTAGACAGTTTTGCCTTTTCAACCTGATTTCTGAAGCGTGTAAAGTAATTGGTGCATCTGAAGTAGGAATTCTTTTAATTACCACGTAAATGTCTCCTACTAAGTGTTGACTCAAGAGATAATTTACCACGTACATGTCTCCTACTAAGTGTTGACTCAAGAATAGAAAAGTTTATATTCATCCAAAGACTTGTGCAGGAATAATTACAGGAGCTTTATTAGAAACCGTCCAATTGTCTTATCAATACAAGAATGTATAAATTGTGGTATTTCTACACTTTTTTTTTTTTTTTTTAGTTTATCTCAAGTCAGTCTCGTGTATTATGTGGTTAGAATGGCTCTACCATTCTAGTTTTCTTGGCGGTAATCTTTATGGAAGTAGATCACCAAATCTTTCTTGCTGGTGCTAGTGAGCCAACCTCTAAATTAGAAATCAAGCATTTGAACGGACCCATAGCTGACCCTTCAGTGGGTTTTCAGAGGCAGTAAATCACACCAGAGGAAACTACCCATTTTTCTCCCACAGAATACTGGGTAGATTTGAACCACATCAAAGACTTGTGAGACAAGGTCAACGACTTCATTTGGCTTGGGTCAACGATCAGCTTCCTTGGTACCAGTAGTCCAGAGATCAGGAGACATATTGCACTGAGAAAGTCTGCAGTCGGGTACCTCTCTAAAATATTGAAGAGCAATGATGTTAGTTTAAGGACTGAGGTGCACCTGATTCAGGCTATGGCCTTTACAATCACCTGCTATGTATCTGAGAGCTGGACAAGGAATAAAGATGACAGAAGAAAAACAGATGCTTTTGAATTATGGTGTTAGAGGAGAGGACTGCCAAAAGGACAAACAGATATGTCTAGGAGAAGGTACAGCCAGACATAGTGAGGAGAGGATGACAAAGCTTCATCTCTCATACTTTGGTCTTATTGCTACGAGAGGCTATGTTTTGGAGAAGGACATCATCCTTGGAAAGATGGAGGTAAAGCAAAGGAGAACAAGACCCTCAATCAGGTGGGTTGACCCAGTGACTGCAGCAAGGGGTTCAAGTTGGTCAGAGATAGTGAGGATGGCACAGAATAGGACAGGGTTCAGATCTGTTGTTCATAGGGTTGCTATGAGTCATACTTGATGGCACCTAACAATAACCTTTGCCTTGATAGTGAAATTATTTTCCATTGAACCACCAGAACTGCCTGTTATCTGTTAGTGATTAGCAATGAAAAGAAATTAAATAATAATAACATGGATGAGTCTTTTAAAAAATGCTACTTGAAAGAAGCTAAAATTTTTAAAGACTGAGACTGTATTAGTCTAATTATATAAAATTCTAGAAAACAGAAAGGAATCTATAATAACACAAAGCAGACCTGGGGATTCAGAAACAGGGAGGATACTGAGAGGGAGGGGTTATAAAGGTGCAGAAGGAAAGATTTGAGGATGATGGAAATAGTCATTATTTTTATGGTACTAATAGTTTCACAGGGATGCCTGTGTCATATAATCAAGTGCAAGTAATTGTATCTTAATTATATCTCAAAGTGTACTTAAAAGTTATAATTAGATAGGGTTCCACTGTCAGATTGGCAGTTAAAAAAATACATATGAATATTGTGTTAAGTATGCAAAAAAAGACACTCAGATATGGTTAGAGGGATTGTAAATGGCTACAACTTAAATATGGCTAAATGTCAAAATTATAACATTAGAAATAAAATATAAAAACACTTGGACATATGTAAAATAAAGAATTTAATGGATAATTGAAATAGCAGGTGACTGAAAACAATCTAAATATCTATCAGTGGATGGTATTAGCCATTACCGTTGTTATGGAAACTCATCCTGCGCTGACAGTACCCACCTCAGAAAGGAATTGGTTTGCATCATTCTTTAAAACACGCATCAGGAGAGGATCAGCTGTGGGTCAGTTCTGACTCAAAGGTACTACAACAACAACAATGAGCTGAAATGGGCTGATATTGGCCATTCTGAATTGGACAACCACATGGTTCACTATGCTAGGAATGATAAATTGAAGAGGCATGACCTCAGGATCATAATAAAAATGATTATTTCCCCTCCTTGCTGTAATTCTTACTTCATGAATCCTTCTATCCTACCACTTTCTGGCTTCAGGACTTTATCCTTAGGCAAATATTGCTCTGGGTACCTTAATATGTCTGCTTTTTCAAAGAAGTAAATGTCTTCCTGGTGTTATTGGTCACCTTATAGTTACATTGAGTTTTGGTTAAAAACTGAGCCAAGAAAATGAGTTTTGATCCAGGTTTGAAGGGTGGCTAAAGGTCATTGTATGCTAATTTGTATAAATGGCCCCAAGTGGCCACACTGATTCCACCTTAGTTTAAAAACATCCCATCTCAAGAACAGGTTTGAGACTTTGAACACTAATGAACGAAGATCACATGAACTGGGAGATGATTGCAAGAATAGCATCCATGAAGAAAGTAAAAGATCATTCATTACAAAGATAGAGGAAGAAGAAAAGACCAAGATGGGAGTCAGAGAGACGTTGAATATTGTACTGGAGCCCTGGGAAGCCAAAACAAAGGGAAGAATTGAAGAAATCAAAGAGTTAAACTAAAGATTTCTAAGGGTAGCTTGTGAAGACAAAGCAGAGTATCATAACAAAATGTGCAAGGAGCTGGAATCAGAAATTCAAAAGAAAAGAACTTGTATGGCATTTCTTAAGCTGAAGGAACTAAAGAACAAATTCAAGGCTCAAATTGCAATACTGAAAGATGTTATGGGCAAAATCTTGAATGATCCAAAGCTAGATAGAATCATCAAAACGAGATAGAAGGAGTACACAGACTATATACCAAAAAGAATCTGCTAAGACAGAACCATCTCAGGAAGTAGCATATGATAAAGAATCAAACGTAAAGAGGACGTTCAAGTTGCTCTGAATTAATTGGCAAAAAATAAGGCTTTAGAAATTGACAGGATACCAAATGACATATTTCAACAAACAGATGCAGCCCTCAATATGCTCACGAGGTTGTACTAAGAAATCTGGAGGACAACTACCTAGCCAACTGACTGGAATAGATTCATATATTTATTCCCTTTACAAAAAAAGGTGATCCGACAGAATATAGAACTTACTGAACAATATCACTAATATTATAGCCAAGCAAAATCTTGCTGAAGATTAGATAAAAACGACTAGAACAGTTCTCTGACCGAGAACTTCCAGAAATACAAGCTGGGTTTAGAAGGGGTTGCGTCACTAGGGATATCATTGCTGGTTAAGATGGCTCTTTGTTGAAAGCAGAGGGTAGCAAAAGAATGTCTATTTCTGTTTTATCCACTATGCAAAGGCATTTGACACTGTGGATCACAACAAATTGCGGCAAACATTGAGAAGAATGGGGATCCCTGAACACTTGATCGTGCTCATGTAAAACCTATACCTAGACCAGGAGGCTGTTGTCTGAGCAGAGTAAAGGAACGGGGTTCAAAATCAAGAAAGGAGTGTGTTTGATCTGATGAAGGTGAAGTCTCCTCAGGGGTATCACTCATGCTGAATATATGTATAGGCTCACTGGTAAAACCAGAGAGGTTTTTTTCCTAACCTTGTATCTGGTTTGTAACCTCTGTACTTTGAAGTTATTGTCTACTGTACTTGTGGACTTTAGATTTATTAGCCTCCAGTCTCCAACCCTACTTGTGCACCTGACCTTGAGCTCATTAACTTCCCCAGATGCCTCTCTCCTAAGGTCTGACCCATAGACCTAGGGCTTGCTAGCCTCTATAAGAGCATGAGCCATTTCCCTGAAATAACTATCACCAGTAAAATATCTTTTCTCCTCCCCACTCAGCTTCATTGGTCTTGCTTCTTAAAGAACCCAGCCTTAAAATAAATAAATAAAATGCACAAATAAATAACCAGATAAATAAATAACTAGATAGATAAATAGATAAATAAAATTAATTAATTAATTAATAACCCAGCCTGACTACTGAAAACATTGAATATAGTACAGACAGCTCAAAGGATCAGATCTTCTTGGAAGAAGTGCAACGAGCATTCTCCTTAGAAGAAAGTATTGAAGGGTATATCCGGCGCGACCACAGGCCTTCCTGTCTTTCGGCTTTCGGTTCGAGGAGGCCTCGGTGCAACTTTCTTCGGTCGTCCCGCATCCGGGTTCATCCGACACCAGCCGTCTCCGCCATGCCGCCCAAGTTCGACCCCAACGAGATTAAAGTCGTGTACCTGAGGTGTACAAATGGGGAAGTCGGTGCCACTTCCGCTCTGGCCCCCAAGATCGGCCCCCTGGGTCTGTCTCCAAAAAAGGTTGGTGATGACATTGCCAAGGCCACCGGTGACT